CCTGTTCCTGGGAGTCAAAGCGCTGAAGCACGAGTGGTGGGGGAAACTTTGGCCGGGCTCTCAAGAGATGAGAGTGACTCCGGCTGCTCCTCTCCGCTAACAGGCAGCCAAGATATCTGCAAACTGTCGAGCGCTCCTCAAGAGAGATGATTTTGCAAATAGCTTGGCCGAACTGTGCAAAGGGGAGCACAACATTGTTGAACCGTGCTAACATGGGGGGAGGGGCTTGTCCCCAAAGTGCCAGCATTGCTCCAACGGCGCAGCCCCGAGGATGCTATCACCAAAGCACGTTGGCCAGAGAAGCGCTCCATCCAGTGCTCCATTCAGAAGTGCTGAACTTCCAATCGGTGCTGGAGGCAGCGCTGGAAGGGAAGGGGCGGCACCCAAAGGAGCTTCCACAAAGGAGGAAGGAAACCCTCCCTCTTGCTGCCGCTGCTTTCGCCCCCTCTTAAACCCTGCCGGCTCCCAGGTGTCCTGTTTGCAGTCCCGCCCTAGGACGCACCTCCTGCCCCCTGTGACGTGTCTATCAGGAGCGCCCAAGCCAGCTTCTGGAGCCCTTTGGGGCACCGGGTTTAAAACCGCATCTGGCCGGCCACTCCTTTGTCTGAAGGGGAGGTTCCTGGTTCCTTGTGTTGCCATGTTTTTCTTTTTCTTTCGGTGGACGGTGGAGGAATCAAGAGTTTCATGTATTTGTGGTATGGGTGCCTGTCCCAGCCTTTTGGCAAGGCTTCTGGTATTTTATGTTACCGGCCCATTGCAGGCTGATAAATATAATAATTGGGGTAGAGAGGTTGTTGAGAGAAAGAGAAATTGTAATATAATGGCAAAATAGTTCTGTTTTATTATACTGGTTGGAGAGTGGCTTCTGATAATCACGAAATGCAGTTAAATGTTTCCCCCTCCTAATCAAGGTGACAGTATTTAATACCTGAGGCAATAAGCAGTAGAAATTCAACAATACAGAATGAACCATTTTATGTGACACCTCACTGTTGATACTTAGAGAGAGACAATTTTGCAGATACCTTGGTCGCTTGTTAGCAGAGAGAAGCAGCCAGAGTCACTCTCATCTCTTGAGAGACTGACCAAAGTTTCCTGCACCACCATCAGTCAAAATTCAAAGTAGTGATCCCTGGGATTTAAAATTATGTGTTTGGTAGTCCCTGACGTCCAAAATGTTGGCGACCCCTGACGTACAGTACATGAAATTATATCAATCTTTGTTATGTTCCTAGATTAGAATAGGCTAATATAAACATTGATAGAATAGAATAGAATAGAATAGAATAGAATAGAATAGAATAGAATTCTTTATTGGCCAAATGTGATTAGACACACAAGGAATTTGTCTTTGGTGCATATCCTCTCAGTGTACATAAAAAGAAAAAAAATACATTGATCAAGAATCATAAGATACAACACAGTGATAGTCATAGGTTACTAAATAAGAAATCAAATCATACTAAGAAACAAATAAAACAATATAAATCGTAGCGATACAAGCAACAAGGTTATAGTCATAAGTGGGAGGAGATAGGTAATAGGAAGGATGAGAAGAATAATAGTAATACAGTCTTAGTAAATAGTTTGACAGTGTTGTGGGTATTTAGTTGTTTAGCAGAGTGATGGCATTCAGGAAAAACTCCTTGTGTCTAGTTGTTCTGATGTGCAGTGCCCTATTGCATTGTTTTGAGGGTAGAAGTTGAAACAGTTCGTGTCCAGGATGTGAGGGGTCTAGATATTTTCACAGCCCTCTTTTTGACTCGTGCAGTATACACGTCTTTAATAGAAGGCAGATTGGTAGCAATTGTTTTTTTCTGCAGTTCTAATTATCTGTTGAAGTCCGTGTCTGTTTTGTTTGTTTGCAGAGCCAAACCAGACAGTTATAGAAGTGCAGATGACAGACTCAATAATTCCTCTGTAGAACTGAATCGGCAGCTCCTTGGGCAGTTTGAGCTTTCTGAGTTGGTGCAGAAAGAACATTCTTTGTTGTGTTTTTTTGATGACGTTTTTGATGTTAGGTGTCCATTTTAAGTCTTGAGTTATGATAGAACCTACAAACTTGAAGGTCTCTTCTGTTGATACTGTGTTGTCTAGTATTGTAAGAGGCGGTAGTATAGGAGGGCTTCTCCTAAACTCTACCACCATTTCTACAGTTTTGAGAGTATTTAGTTCAAGATTATTCTGGTTGCACCACGAGGCTAGTTGTTCAACCTCCCTGTCTTTATGCAGATTTGTATGCAGATAATATCCCTCAAAATATTTTAACTCTTTCCCACCTTGAAAGTATTTGCTGCCTGTGATCTAGATTAAAGGGAATATTGACTGGTTTGAATGTGGTGTGAAGCATCATTCTATACTACTGTGGCAAGGAGACAAGAATTAAGATTAAAAAGTATTTATCACTGTTTCCTTGGTGTGCTCTTGATTCTTGATATTACTGGAATTATCTCAATTTTTAGAGCATCTTAAATCTGTAGTCCAAAAGGAATAGAAAGGCCCTAAACAGTATTAGCTGTGACAATTTAAGTCCATCCCAAATCATGTTGAGAAGTTTCTGCAGTGACTAGGGTACCTGAGATTTTTATATTTCTTACTTACATTAAAAACAATAATTTTGTTGCTTCAATAGATCACACTTGTTCAGCAAAAGGTTCATATGATCTGTTGTAAGTTAGTGTGGATGTTGTATTTAATTATTTGACTATCACCAGGAGACTCAACTTCTGATTCCCACTCTCAACCATACAAATTCACTAGATAACTTTGAGTCAGTCATGTACACACAGTCTCTCTGTTCAACTATTTTAGTAGGTGGTGGTTATGGGAAAAATTGTGAGGGGAGAATGGCATATATGTTGTTTTTAGCACTTGGAGAAAAAGGCAGGATATAAATATAACAAATAAATATAATGAGTCTGATAAAATGTTTAAGTATGAAACATGGCACACTGTTCAAGCACTGTTTAATGTGATGGGCATTAATCCTGATGTAATTACTCAAAAATTGCAACTTTGGATGGATCAAAATAATAATGATAGCTCAATTGGGCGTAGAGACTACATTCTTAAATAATAAAGTATTGAGTGACTAATTTAAGAGCACAATAGCCATTCAGATATTAATCAGAACAAGAGTTGATAGCATATGCTACATATGCTGGGCTGGAGCCATATGCCATCAAGATTATAGTTGTTTATTGCAGTATTTGGAAGAAGAATTCAAAGCTGCAAACAGATGTTTTGGCTCGCTTCATTTATTCCCCATACTTGTCATTCTTCCTACCATAAATTAATATATTGTCCATATCATTTAAAATGCATCTGTTAATATAGATTCTAGCTTTTTAGCTGAAAAGAAAGCATTAGTTAGCAAATATTTTTATTATTTTGCATTTAGATGTTATTAAAACCTTTTTCCAGAGAAATTTTTATTTTATTCTCTTGTAACTACAACATAAGAGTGAGTTTAATAACTATTAGACTGACAGATTTGTTGTGGCTGAAATGATCTACAGTCCACTTTGGCCAGCTACATAAAACATTGAAACTTGCCCAAAAACTCCTATGCCCTTTTACCAATGCTTTTGTCTTGAGTCTGTAGATCAGTTACAAATTCACAAAGTAGTTTTAGAATATTCTTGCTGATTGAGGAGACCCATTTCATTATGCAGTGCTCTGTTGTGTAATTCAGGTAGTTCTCAACTTATGACAGGTAACTTAGCTACTGTTTGATGTTACGGCTTACCTGAAAAAGGGCCTTAGGACCTAGGTAAGAAGTTCCCCCCTCTCCCATGGACACATGACTGCATTTTGGGCACTCAGCAACATTGCTGCATTTATAGTGGGTTGCAACAGCCCATGGTGATGTGACATGTTTTACAGTGTTTTTACTGAAAACCAGCACTTTCATGATTTTAGAAAAACTGTGCCATAGCAAATCAATTGATTTGCTTAATGACCACTCTAAAAACATTGTAAAATCAGGTCAGTCACATGATCAACCCATTTTATGACCATTTTGATTTACAACTATAATAGGCAGGCTCCATTTTGGTCATAACTCAAGGATGTACTGTATTACTGCTGGTCAAGTACTTAGTTGAACAACTAGCATAATAGATAGAATTTATTACATGGAAGCATCCTGAGAAATTAAATTAAATTAAGCTTTTTCAAACTGATCAAGTACCTCTAGCAGAAATGTCCAGTTGACCTACAATACTTATCTATGGCAGTGCTAGCTCCTAGACGGTGATTCTCTTCCAAATCAGGGCATTCTGAATAGTGAAGCACAGTTTCTAGAAGAAATAGTCATTTCTAGGGCTCAGAATCCAGCCTAGGATTGAAATCCATAGGATTTAAGCAGGGGCATGATGGAAGACTGAATTTGAGGGTGCCAAGCAGCATTTAACTCATGGCAGATGTAATGTTACGTGTGAAGGATCTTGAGAAAAGGGAAAGGGATAGTTGGAATAACAATGAGATAAGAGGTGTCCTAGCCCACAGAAGGTATCTGGATGTGGCCAATACTCAGTAGGGACCATACCTAGTTTCTTGGGCTATAAATGTGACAGTGGAAAACATTACATTCAGACTTGCAAGATTTTATTAATGTCACCTTATACTAAAGTAGAATTAGTTCACTTGGGCATACTTTTTTTTGCTACAATTTTTTTACTTGATTACTCCTAAATTCACTTGGGCATACTTTCTATCTGGATTACCTTGCAAGACTGACAGCAGTGATTTTTTATAAATGCTGGCAGCAGCAATATTTTTTTTCTTTTATATGAATGAAATTGTATTTCTTTAATTAGGAGGAAAAATTAGAAATCTATCTTGCTTAATAATTAGCATAAATGGGAAATAAATACCTAGGGAGAACCTCCTCCCCCAATCTATGTAGCATTCAGTCTGTCTTCACATTATTCTCTATTTTGATTTAACTAATATCTTTGTTTCTCCACCCCCACCCCCCACCCCCCATTTCTCCAAAGATCACTGTGTCCACTACTATGATCTTCGGAACACTAAACAGCCCATTATGGTCTTCAAAGGGCACCGCAAAGCTGTTTCATATGCAAAGTTTGTTAGTGGAGAAGAAATAGTCTCTGCGTGAGTATTGTAAAAAGCTTCTACACTTTCTGATTCTTGGTGAATTTCAGAAAATCAGTATTTTGCACAGCTTATGAGTGAGATTGTATGCACATACTATGTGTTTGTGTGAACTGTCAATTTGCACAGCAGATTCTAGTACTATTTATTAGAACAAAAATAGAAAACTGTTTCTCACTTCTTTTGGATCCAGAGTGTCTCATTAGTGCTGAAGAAGCTGAGAAAGATATAGCTATATAACTAGCAGTTTTTTGTTTTGTTTAGTCTGTTTTTTTGTCTGTTCAGCCACACTTTTAGGAGTTGCCGACAACATACTGAAACAAATGCTTAGTTCTGTGAAGTCTTGAATTCATGTTTCTTTTTAGTATAGTAATTACTAAAGAAGCAGCAATATTCGATTCCATTATTTTTCTGAAAGGTAGATTTTTTTTTACTTGCAGATGTACTAAGAATTGCAGGAGTGCCTCGTGTGCTAACATACAACCTGAGATTTCCTGCATTTGAAGAGTTGAACTTTGGAGAGTTAGACAGCAATTATTTGATCAAATTAAGGAGTAAACAGTTTGCAGAAAGCAATTTATGTAATGATTAAATTACATTTGGAATTTAGAAACACTCCAGGCAAAATCTTACCCTTTATTTTAACTTAAGTGTTAGTTTAGAAAACTGAAGAGAGGCATATCAGTTTTTAGGTACATGAATGGAAGCAGTAGTGAAATTTTTTCTGTTTTGCCATTGTGTGCATTGCCTGAGAGTGACTGGCTAAAAGTCACCCAGCTGATTTGGGCCTATGGCAGGACTAGAACTCATGGCTTCTCAGTTTCTAGCTTGGAGCTTTAACCAGTACACTAAGCTGGCTCATAGGGATGATAATTAGGAACTAAGTAGAAATAATGGGTGCAAGTTGAAGCTATCTAGATTTTGCTTAAATGTAAGCAAAAATGCCCTGATTCTAAGATCTGTACAGGTAGTCGTGGTGGTACACTGGTTAGAATGCGGTGTTGCAGGCTAATTCTGCTGACTGCTAATTGCCAGCAGTTTGGCAGTTCGAGTTTCACCAACTCAAGGTTGACTCAGCCTCCCATCCTTCTGAGATTGGTAAAATGAGGACCCAGATTGTTGGGGGCAATATGCTGACTCGGTAAACTGCTTAGGCAGAGCTGGAAAGCACTGTGAGGTGGTAAAGAAGTCTTACTGCTATTGCCTTGATTTATGACCATTTGTTTAATAACGATTCAAAGTTATAACCACTGAAAGAAGGGACTTAAGATCAGTCCCTGAAGTTATGGCAGCTATGGCTTCACCTGTATTGCAGCACAGAAGCTTCTTGCAACCCCAGAGTCATGGTGTGCCAAGAAATTCAAGAGTCAGAGCCTACTCCTTCCATGGCCTCCCTGAACTCATGCTGTACTACAGCAGGACCCCAACTTGCACACAGCTTGCACTGGGCCTCTGAAGGCTTCCTCTTCACCCCTGCAACAACTCCCATGCTCTCTCTTGCTTCACGACTGCACGTGTGTAGAGTTACAAAGGCAGCTAGGATTCCTGTGTTTGCTGTCACTAAGTGATGCGGTCACATGGCACTGCTTTTTATGACCATTTTGTGTAGTGATGGGAATTCCAATCCCAATTGTCCTACATTGGGGGCTACCTGTATAATAATGGAACAATGCACTATGTACCTTTGGGTTTATTACCTCTAGAGATTTTTAAAAAGAGTCTGGTCAGCTGCCTATTGTGGATGGTTTAATTGGTTTTACTCACATTAAGGAAGATTGGATGATCCTTATCATCCCTTCCAATTCCACAGTTCTGTGATTCTATACAGCAGGTATTCTTTGGGATTCATTCCAGTGGTGTAAGCTTCAATGAATTAAATGTAAGAGTAATGTTATGTAAATTTCGGTAAATTTAACATGGTTTTACATTTAATTGAAAAATGTATCTTCGGATTCTCCATGGCTTTTTGTTTTTCTATGAATATGTATTGTGTAATAAGTTTTACAAGGCTATTGATACTAAAGCTGACTTCTTTACTTGAAACAAGTTTTCCTTACCCCTTACAAAGGGCTTAAAGTATTTTTGATTGGAAAACAAACCTTTGCAGAACCCAAGGAGTGATTTCTGTTGAATGCAGCTTTCCTCTTTGCTTGCATTGTCCCAGACACAGATGGTACCAGAAATGTGTTTTCTGTCTACAGCAAGTTTTACACTGTGCTGATTTTGCCTACCTGGGAGTCTTTCATAATTTCCAATTGATTTGTAAGTTTTTATCTCTGTCCTCAGGTCAACAGATAGCCAGCTAAAGCTATGGAATGTAGGGAAGCCACATTGTTTGCGTTCTTTTAAGGGTCACATCAATGAGAAGAATTTTGTAGGCTTGGCATCTAATGGAGACTATATTGCCTGTGGTAAGTAAACAGCTGTTTGAGCAAAGAAATTTAAATATACTGTCAAGTTTAAGCATTTATCAATGTCAAGTTTATGGCAATATATTACAATAAAACTGAAAACGCTATGAAATATCAACAAAATCATTGAATGGATCCATCCCCTTTCTTGATAAAAAAGAAATTCTTAAGTTTAAAATATGCCTAACAGCTGCCTGCCCATCTGTTTTCAAGAAATGTTTTCAAGAATGAGGTTCAAAACTTTGAGAACATACTTAGAAAAATGTTTGTTTATCCCAAATCATTATAGTTCAAACCAACTGGAAAAATGAGTAATCTCAAACTTCAAAAAGACAAGGAAAAGAACTATTATTCAGTTTTCCAGTTGGTAACATAAAGTAACCTATAGTACAAGAACATAACTTACTGTTCTTTTCAGTAATGAAAAATATCCCCAATCCTTCAGCATAATCTCCTTTGGTCTGTATGCTGGACTTTTTATCATTTCTTATCTTCTAAATCCTTTTGGGTATTTCAGCATTCTCCTTGAACTCTAACATCTAAAGCAGGTCATAGAAAATTTCTTCTGGCATCTGGAGTCATGCCGTTGCACAAAAAAGTTGCAAATGTTACTTACATCTTCTGATGTATGCTTCTTAAATTATATTAAACTTAGTAGTTGCCACCTTCCATTCACTTTCTGAGTATTGAATACTTGGAATGAGTTGGTTATAATACTTGGAATGAGTCTTATAATTAATCTGACTCCTATATTAGAGTTTCCTGCTTTAACCAAGGCTAGTTTTAGTGGAAAGTTTAGATTGAGCTGGAACTGACAAAAATAAATATTGTAAATCAACCTGTATTTTTGTTTTTGGTTGTAGGAAGTGAAAATAATTCACTTTACCTGTACTATAAAGGTCTCTCAAAGACACTGCTAACCTTCAAATTTGACACTGTCAAAAGTGTCCTGGACAAAGACCGTAAGGAGGATGACACAAATGAGTTTGTCAGTGCTGTATGCTGGAGGGCACTACCAGATGGGGTAAATATTTTGCTAATTTTTTTCTTCTTACCAAGGAGCAAAATAATTTGCAGGCCATTTATTTGGATCAACCTCAGTCTAGTTATGAACATGTCAGATTAATGAAAGTTTTCATTTTGGATCCTTCAATGACCAGGATTAGGCTTTCTCAAGAATAATAGCTTCTACTTCTACTTTGAATTATCAGTGCAGATAAAGGAATATAAGCAGATGTTAATGGATTATCCAAAGAGATATCACTGGACTATTATGCAACAAATCTTTGACCTATATCAGGGTTTGTTACTTCAGAATTCAGTAGCTTTCCTCTTTCAAATAAGATTGTATTTAATTTTTTTCTTTGAATAGTGGTTTTAGTATATAGATAACTTCTTAGCTATGACCTGGGACTCTTTTACTCCTAACAAATGTAGTGCCTCTGCATCCCTAGCCATCATAAATGGTTGTCCCTCCTCCCAGTCAGGCTGCATGTCAAGAAGGTCAGCTTTATGATTGGTTGTATTGTTGTGTGGTCACATGACCTTGATTCACAGTACTTTTTTCTGGTTTCCAGAAAAAAAATGGCCATTCAAATTAATGAGATCAATTAAAAATCATAATGTTCGCTTAACAACCACCATCCGGTCATCTGGATGCCTTGACTTATGATTGCAGCAATTCACGGGCTCAATTATGGTCATAAGTCTGTAGCAACAGAGGTTATTTGAGTTCATGAAATGTTAGAAATTCTATGTTAGTACCAATTTTGCTTTGTGCTCTGAATGTCATGTTTTGGTAAGTGGAGTGGGGAGGATACTTTGTTTTCCACCTATTTTCTTCTTTCTCTGAAATTATTCTTTTTCCATTTTCATATGGAATATTGTGTCTTCTTTCTGGTTGTGCCAGAAAACAGCCGTTGCAGATTTAGGTTGTTCAGGAAGTATGCTGTATTACTTCAGTGTTCTGTTATTCCCTTTAATTATAGCAACTAATTTTCTCTTCCAACGTCTTTACTTATTTTTGCCTGCATTTTAATGCTAAGGTCCATAGGGTAGAAGCTGGAGGTGAAAACCTCTTCTGTCTGAGTTTCCACATACTGACCTGACCTCATGCTTTGGAAGTGGCTTGGTAGTTCCTGCTGCCACTATCAATCCTGTGGAATGTTTCACCTGGTATGCGAGAGAAATAGAGCTTTCACACTCTTTGCTGCCTTTCTAGCAATTAAAGGTTAAAATGCAACAGTTGAAATAACTTTTATAGTATTGCATAGAGGTATGTTAGTTAGGGATTTCAGCTTTCTTCCCCTCAGGGAGCAATAGAAATAACCCAATCATTAAAAAAAAGATAAAATGTAATTTCCTAATCTCTACTCTTTAAAAAATACACAAACAATCACTGTAGGGAAAGATAATTATGTTGTTGCCCAGATCATGGTAATACAACAACTTTCAAATTAGTAATGAAAGAAAAAAACTAAAGCAAATGTAATGTTCAGTCTTCTGCAAATAAAGAGACCACAAGAAGTGTCTAAAAAGAGTCTTATTAGTGATCCATAATAGTGAAGGACTAAGTCTTCGATAGGTTGGATTCAAGTCTGTCATTAGGCATGGAAACTGGGTGACTTTGGCAAAGTCACTGGGTGACTTTGGGCTAGTTATGCTCTCTCAGCCTTTCCCACTTTCCAAACAAAGTATTGGTTCAATTATTCACTATTTTTTAAAGAGTGTTTCAAGGGCCTATGTTGGGCCTTTCATAATTAGAAATATGAAAATGATTAAATCAACTGGGGCATGCAGTCTATTGGAAAACTAACAAAATATTGAGAAGATTAATACTCCTCATGCATTGTTTTGGGGAGAAAGTTCCAGGGACACTAGGGAGGTCAAAAGAAGCTAGAAACCCCACCGTTTGCATTAATTTTGCATTCAGGGACAAAAATTTAGGGCTTCAATCACATGTCACAATCATCATCTTGATTATTTTAATACATATCCCAGGGATGCCAAGGACATAGATCTTAAAGCACCTTTTGGGCAGTTAAGACGGGTAGTCCTCAACTTATGACAGCAATTGGGACCAGAATTTCCATTGCTAACTGATGTAGTCATGCTACCAGTAATGTAGCAGCAGCAATTCCTGGTCCTAGTTGCCATCATTAACCAAATCCCATGGTGATTAGACAAGGAAACCTCTTGCCAATTTCTCACAACCAAAAGTATTGGGGATGCTTGTAGGAAATTCAAGTCCCAGGGCTGTAGACAGATAAGTGGCTGCTGGGATCCTTTGGTGAAGGACCAAAGAGGGTATGAGAGAGGGTTAATGAGACTGTATGTAAGAGGCATGGTGCAGTTTGGGCCAGGAAATGTGCAAGAGGGGTGCATGGTCAGGGATAGTATGAAGGGTATGTGCTAGGGAAGATGAAGGAGTGGGTACATGAGGTATGCATTGAAGATGAGAGGTGGTGTGCAAGAGACATTGTGTGGGTCCAGAAAAGTCAAGGGTGTGATGGAGAGCATGGGGGGAAATGTGTGGGCATGGGACACTTATCCCAGTGACTTGTGACCTTCCCTGCTGGCTTCCCCATTGACTTTCTGAGGAAGCCAGCAGAGAAGGTTGCAAATGGCATTCACGTGATCAAAAGGTGCTGCAACCAGTTGTAAGTGCAAATAGGTTAAATGCCTAGATTGGAATTATATGGTTGTGGGGTTGCTGGGATAACAAGAAGTCTAAGGGCCAGTCGTAACCACGATTCAGTTAGCCCCATTGTAACTTGGGATGCTTGCTGCCCCAATGGTTGTATGCCTAGGACTACCTGTACTGTTTTATCATAAACCCACAATGAAAACAGAATATGAAGCTTAGCAATACCATTGTGAGAGAGCCAGTTCGATATAGTGATGGGGGCATCAGACTAGAGGCAAGGAGCCCATGAATTCTAGTTCCGCTTTACACCCAAAGCCAGTTTATGTGACCTTGGCCGAGTCAATCTGTCTCGGGAAGAAATTAAGAAAACATTGGCAAAATATTTACCAAAATTTGCCAAGAAAAATTGTGGGATCAAATCCAGGCAGTCACCAGGAGTGTGACTAAAGACTCACTCTAAGGACACCCCAGTCATGGTGCATCTTGGAGCTGGAATATGGGTTTCCAAATGCATTAGATTCGATTACATTTGCGCAAAGGTTCTGTTATGCTTCTGCTGATGTTGCTTTAAAAAAGAATAGGTATTAACTAAGTTTATTGTAAGAAAACTTATTTTAGCTCTTGGTACTCAGAGTACGGGCATTATATATAAGCCATATGGTTTCATAGATTATGCATAGCTTCAATTTATTAGCATCATTATAAAAGAAGTCATTTAATTGGTATGTTTATTGTAATATTTTAAATAGGTTAGCCTGTAAAAAAAGTAGATTTAAGTGTTTTGGAAAACTATCTGGAAATGAAGATAAGAGAAAATAGAATGCAAATTAGTCATAAAAATATCTAGAATCCTTCCAGAGAGAAGCTCTGAAGTAATGGTAATAGGGACTTGTGGAAAACTCATAAATTTCAGTTCTACTGAAGGGGCCAGAATTATTGGTTTACTTAAATCAAGTTCGATTAATTGCATAATTATTCTACATCACTGAAAAGGTATTCTGTTAACAAGCAAACTAAGAAAGCTAGATCTGAAAAAAATACCCTGTTCCATGTTTTAGAATATTTAAGAGAATATAAAATAGTACTACCAGGTAAAAATCTTTTGTAATTTTATATCTATATGTTCATTTGCTCTTTTTTGCATTTTATTGAGAAATGGGGCTAATTTGAATTTGTTGACACTTGAGGAACACACTTTGTAATTATCAGTATGAAGTGATCTGATCCTCAATTCTTGGACAAATGATATAGGAATGGAATATATTCTAAGATTAGTGTAGAAATCAGGAAACAGACATCAGAGAAGCAGATGACATGGACTATAAGAACATTGACTATCTGCAATTTATATATTTATGGTTTTTTTTAATGAATTCTAAATTCACTGGCAGTAATTTTAAAACTGATTTAATTCAAGATTAGATATTGTAAATTGGAGGAAAATATCTGTCTTCTGATTATTGACTTCTGTTGAGTCATATTCTAAAGACCATCTGCATTTCATCTGTATTACTGTTTCAGAAAGCCTTTAGCCATAGTAAAATACTGGACTCAAATAATCCCTTTAGTAATTAATATATGACTTCAAGTTCCATATAGAAGAAAAAATTCTGGAATATTCTTTGACTTCTTCCAGCTAATAAAGAGCCATTTCATCTACTCTGAATTGTGATGACATAAAGGCATATTGTATATAAAAGTATAGGAACTAATAAACTTTCTTTAAATATAGGGAATGTCAATTCAGTTTTACAATTCCCAAAATTATTCTCAGCAACTACTTCATTGTCATCTTTGGATTATTTAGAATTTGATTTTATGCACTTCTGTTTGTCATGGCTGTGAGGCCCAAAAGAACAGTATGACTGCATCTGGTCATTTAGCACCACCCAGGGAGCAAGTGTAGATTAAGGAATGCCTTACTCCCATATATAATTTCATATATAATTACGCGGACTGTATCTATATGTTTACTTCTCTTCTGTCATGTTCTCAACATGCACTAAATAATAATAATTTGGAATAATCATCAATTAATGAAATGTGAAAGGCATGATTTACTATGAATAAAATACTATCTAAGTAAATTCAAACATTTTAAAGGTGTATATTTCTAATCTCCTTCTATAATAATTAATTTTTACATCTTTTACTTTCTTTTGCCCAATTTCTATAAAAGCTGCTATCTGTTAACACAATCTTTAATTTTTTTCATCTATAGGACTAGCAGATTATTTCCTCCTTAGTTTGAGTTCTAATATTCCCAATTGTAGAAGAGTCCACCTTAGTTATAAATGTGTAAAATCAGAAATACTATCATTTATTTAGCATGAACTGACATATGTATTTTTATAAACAAATTGTTCCATACTAAGTGG